TCTTTGATGCTCTTTTCATTCTCAGACCCACCCAGGCTTCCCCAACCTGGTGCCCTCCAAGCATTTGGGATTGCAACTCCTGGCTGGGGCTGTATGGAGTTGTGATCCAAAACAACAAGCCAGCGAAGGCAGCTCAGACCAGCCGTTTGGATCATGGCTTGCATAAGCTGCGTTCTTTCTCCCTTTTACAGATCAATCATTTGTTTATTTTTAAAGCTTGCTGGTTGCTTTCCCTGCTAAGAGAGCCCTTGATGTAATACTCAGGAAAAGGTAAAAGCAGTAAAGAGAAAAACAACAACTCTCTCTTTTTTCTTTTTCTTTTTTAAAAAAAGAGTGATTTAAAAGAAAACAAGTCGAAAACGGCAGTTCAGTCCAGCATGAATCAATAGATATTTAATGCAATTCACTGGCAGAAGTAGTTAAAAACCCACAAATTTATACATGCAGTCATCAGCAGAGGAAACCTTTGGTAACCTGGAGAAGCAGCTTTCTACAGAATCCTCCCCCCCCCCCCGGTGATGAAAATATAGCAAAGAAGTAGGTGGATGGATCTCCCATGGGAGAGCAGTGCCAAACATGAGTGCCACTGAATTGATTGCCCTTCTCTGTTGCTAACACAGATAGTACTTGAGGCAAGAGAGCCATATAAGTGCGAAGCTACATCCTAAGTTATGCTGAATCCAGGTGTAATGGCCTGGGACTTGGGCTCGGACTCGGAACCGGAGGAGTCTCGGTCCACACCGGATCCTCTGCCTCAGGCGGCATCTGAACCAAGTCTGGGGCCTGATTTTGAAGGTTTCCCTTCAATAAGCACCAGCTGAGCTGAGTCAGGGGCCTGAGCCTGCCTCTGCTGGGCAATCACGTGCAGCTGCTGCACTACCAGTTGGGTCAGGAGAGGCTGAGGTGGCCTCTGGGTCTAGTAACCCACCGATGTCTCCCGAGCTGCAGAGACTCAGGTCTGAGAGAAGGAGAGACCTGAGTACTTGCAGGAGGAGTGCTCGCCTTCAGGTGAGACAGGGAGGTGAGTCACTGGGGGTTCAGGACCGGCCATTACCCCATCTGAAATATACTCGGAGTCAAGAGTGGATTTTATGCTCTTTATTCAGCTTATAGTGGTGAGGAGGAATGGAAGTTCCCCCAGAATGTCTGCTTCATATACATTATTTGCACAATGGGCCCCACGTGATTGGCTAATTCTGGGATTCTCCTGTAGGCCAATCAGGTTGCGGATTCACGTCCACCTGGAGCTGGATTGGGTGGCTCCTGTGGACCAATCAGACTGCTGCATTCTGGATCCTATTGTTCTAGGACCAAGCAGACTGCTGCATTCTGAATCCTATTGTTCTAGGACCAATCAGACTGCTGCATTTTGGATCCTATTCAACTCAGTACATAACACCATCAGAGATAAAAGGCTGCCGGACCCTGCCCCAGGTTGCGGGAGCAGCATTGCTGGAACCTGCCTGTTACCCTGTGCCTGACCTAGCTTGGTTTCCTGCCTTGGCCCTGTTGGACTGACTCCTCGTGGAATCCTTGGATTCGGGACCGGACCTGGACCGCATTGCTTGGGTTAACCCCCGGGCCCAGCACACCAGGGTGCACTAGGGCCATTTCCAGCCCATGGGCGAGTTGGAAAAGATGACCTTCAGGGTCCCTTCCAACTCTACGACTCCATGAAATAATAAGAGCACTGCTGGATCAAACCAAAGGCCCTTCCAATCTAGCAACTTTTCTCACAGCGGCCAACCAGATGCTTAGAGGAAGCAGCATAAAAGGGGGGGCACTTATCATAGAATTGTAGAGTTGGAAGGGACCTTGAGGGCCATCTAGTCCACCCCCTGCAATGAAGGACTATGCAGCTGTCCCTTAGGAGGATCGAACCTGCAACCTGGGCGTTATCAGCACCCTGCTCTAACCATCTGAGCTATCTTGACCTTGCATATGAAAGCTACCATGACCATAGCTGTTAAACTGAACCAATTTCTTTTTGCAGTGAAGGTCAGGTGCTCACCATACATCCAAAGCACTTTTGTACCACTTTTAACAGCCATGGCTCTCTCCAGAGAATCCTGGGATGTATAGCTTGCTAAGAGCGTCAAGAGTTGTTGGGAAATACCCAGGGGGGCCACTAGGGGGCGCATCGGAAGATGGCTGACAATAACATCTCTCCGACCCACACGAGGTAATTTGGAGGCTATGATGGGAGTAATTAGCCTCCCTAACCCCCCCAGGACGGTGGGGGGGACTGCCTTTGCCTGCTGTGCCCTATACCACCCCCAAACTTGTGGGGATGGGGGCACTAGGCACAAAGCCCTCCTGTGGGATTCCGGCACTCCTAGACGCCGTCCCTGATTCGCGCCACTAGCTGCTAGAACTTCAAAAGAAAACAATTTGGATGAAGGAAATGCACATATTTCAAGGAAGGAGGGGAGTAAAGACTGCTATAGAAGAGATCTCTGATAAAACAAGACAAGAATAAACATGAGAAGATACGCCAAGATACGGTATGACAAATGACTGATGGGGGAGGGGAAAAAATTTCCTTTCTTTTCTGATGTGATTAACAAGAATCCCCTCCCCTCACGAGTCACGAGTCAGAAATGTCATTTTAAGGACTTAAGCTGTGGATTTAAGGCTGTGTGGAGATAAACTTTCGAACCAAAGCATGTTTTAAGAAGAGCGAGGAATGTATAAGAGCTTGGGAATGACGCAGTTAAAAATGCCGTCGCCATATTGGGAAGTTCTGTCGGAGGTCTTGAGTCTGGGAGGAGAAAGAGAGAAATAGAGCTGTTTATATATTGTGGGTGAAACTCCTCAGAGGGACTTAAGAGCGACAGCTTTACGAGATGGAAAGAGCGATCTTATTTATGAAGGCGATGATATATGGAAACCATCTCGATTTGAGGAATGGAAGAACGGAAAATTCACACAGGATTATTATTATTATTGGTGTTTATCAGCTTAAGGAGACTATCAGAAGAGATCATAAAGAAAAAAGAGAAAATATATAAACAAGATGTGATGTGGAAACAGCAAGATAAGACTGGATAGAATTATGAACTCTGTTTGGACTGATTTGGACATTAATGCAGTAGCAAGAAGATGATCAGAATCCCCCTTCGGATCTTGAAATATGGGTCCCCCCAACAAAATTTAAAATTCGGCTTTGTAATTCGGAATTTATGTGATGTGATTTAATTTGATTTGACTGGCCGGTTAATAAAAATTATTTTTTTTTAAAAAAAAGAGTTGTTGGGAAATACCCAGTCTCCTCACAGAGCTACAATTCATAGAGTGCTTCATCAACTGATCCCCTTGGGCAGACTGAATATCCTTGGGACCAAGAAATGCGGAGGGTAGGAAACTCCTGAAGCTGAGAGAAAGCAAAATGGACAGATCCACTCATCCCTGCCTCTATTGCCCCTGCTCTCCTTGACTTCCTGGGGTGGAGCGGGTGGAAAGAGAAATGGGATGACAGGGGAAATGGGGCAAAGAGGGGCCTGGGAAGGATCCGGTGACAAACCTTATAAATCTTGACATGTTTATTTAGCATAAAACTTGTAGTAGTGAAAAATGCAGTCATAGGTTGTCCCCACCTGCCCCACCCATAATTTTTTAAAAAAGGTATCTGGCTAAATAGGTATTTCATTTTTCATTGGGCGAGCCAAGCTGCTTCTGAAAAGAAATTGATTTAAGTTCCGCTGGATGCTTAATTTATGGCTTGTAGCTAAAAACACTTCTTCTTTTTGCAAATGTGCCTAATTTAGTTTGTTGCTGAAATGAAATGTTGCTAATTAGCCCATTAAAGGCAACCTGCTAAAAATCACAAGAGAAATACGTTTAAATAAATAAAAGTAGCAATTCAGGGCTTTCTCTCCGAAGGATAGAAACTAGGTTATGGGGCAATAAATTTCTTGTGCACCTGAGTTTTTTCACACCAGGGCTTCATCTCTGCATTCAGCTGGAAGCAGAATTAAAATGGTGGTTCAACACGTCCCTTAATATAATGCTATACAGTGCCTGACCCGAGGGCCAAGAGTTTTCTGTAACCCAAGAGGAAATGAGCCCATTCCACAAAAAGCCTAACCTTCCTCCTTATGGCTTCTATCAGTTAGAACTTTCCTCCTTGTGGCTTCTTTCATTCAGGGACAGGAAACCTGTGGATCTTTAGATGTTGTCAGACTCCAGCTCCCATCAACTCCAGCCTGCCTGGCCAACGCTCAGGAATGATGGGAGCTGGTCCAACAACATCAGGTGCACCACAGGCTCCCAGTCTCTGCTCAAATGGCTCTTTGTTCAGTATGCACACTCTTTGCTCATTACTTACAAGCCTAGGGATTTGGTGTGGCCAGCCCCTGCTGCACTGTTTCTCACATTTCTCACATCCACCCACCATCTAGTCCAGCTGCCACTGGAAATGGCACTCATGGCCATCTGATTCTCTGTTCCAGGCAGCCATAACATCTAGAACAGGGGTAGGGCATCTCCATGGGCCACTCTTGGCCTGCCAGAAAGATTAGTTTTGCCCATGAGGACATCCCCCCCCTAGCTGATGTCACTGGTGATGTCATCTGATGGATGTGAGGATGGGCTTTAATGTTGCATTGGTTGTGCGTCCTGTTTCCAGTAGGGAACAGGACCGCACAGGTAAAATAGCAGCACCAGCTGATTAATGGGTATTAAAGCCCTATGCAAAAACACTCTTTGAAGCAACTCCATGGTTCCCCTTTAAGTGAGGGGGCAAATGAGGGGCTGCTTCAAAGAGCGCTTTTGCAAAGGGGCTTTAAGACAGTCCCCATACTCCCACCTGGGCCCTCAGAGGCTCAAACAGGAGAACAGCAGCTGTCTTAAAGCCCTTTGCAAACAACAAAAGAACTTTGGCATCACTGCAGGTTCCCAAGTGAGAAGAGCTTTTGATAGGTGGGGCAGGGCCGCTCACCTGTCAGTCACTGTGATCTCATAATTCTGTCATGCGATTGACATGTGGGTGTAGGCTCCCACCAGTACACTTTGGCCAGCGAGGTCAATCCTGATACAGATCTGCCCCATGGAGCTGAAATGGTTCCTCAACCCTAACCTGGAGCTAATTTCTGTTTAACAGACTGCCAGTTGTCTTGTGCTTGAGCACCATTCATCACTACCTGTAGCAACTACCAGGAATGCAGACAGAGAATGCAAGACCTCACAACAGAATAGCTAGGGTAAGCCAGCAGCGGACAACCTCTGGACTGCGAGCCAAATTGAGCCTGCCAGGGATCCCGTTTGGCCTGCCCATTTGGCATATTCAGTTCCTTTCATCTACATGTGGTAAATGGATCAGGATGTTAAGGTCAGGAACGGGGATCACACTCCTTATAGGGAAGCTGTTTTAGGTAACATATGTACCATGACCATGATGCGTTCTCTACCCTTCTAGTGGGTGCCCAGTGGAGTATATGGGGTATGTGTCTTGAGGTCTCTCTCTAAATGCATTTATTCTTTTATACCTGGCCCCAGAGTATGTCCTCAAGCACGACTCTTGATGAAGAATATTTTTCAACAAGAAAATGCAGCTTGAGATTTACAGTGCTGGGTTCTGTTCCTATGCAATGAACCTCCCATCCTCTGCTTCCACTTATTTATCTTGATGATCGATGTGTTTTGTGACTCTCCGCTAATGCAATATTCCTAGCTGCTTCTTCTGCTGTAATTTCTGGTTCTTTGCTCTATAAGTTAAACATGTGTCTCCTGTCATGCAAAGCTTGTCCGAAGGATAGATGACTTCTGCTTCCATTTATTTCCTCCGCAGAGGTGAGTGCATTCATCTTGTCACTTGTAGATCCCGGGCAATTTAATGAAGTGTTCACTAAACGTTGCCCAAGAAGCGCTTGCATTATCGAAAACACGGCGAACCCTTCCGTTTCAAGATAAGGTCATTTATATTTAGTAAAAATGGGACTCGGCTATTGTTAAGAGTTGAGTATGACTTATGCTGAGAGAGCCCTTTGTAAGTGAAGCGCCAGATTAATCACGATGCTCAGTGTGACACAGAGCAGGGTCCCAGATAAAAGTGGCCTCCTCTGATAGTGCAGTCATCTGTGGGAGGCACTGCCATGTCTAGCTGTCACCCAGTGCCAGACATTGAGTCTTTGGAAGATAAATCAGACATTGCAGAGGTTGAGGGCCTTGAGGAACAGGAAGGGGGTCCTGGAACGTGTGCTCAGCATCACCTTGAGGGACCTCTTGAAGCAAACACCACTACCATGCCCCCCAGCTGTCCCATTTTAAGTGGGACAGAAACCAATCCCAACTTCCGTTTGCATCCCAGAATGTCCTTTTTTTGGTCTGGCACTTTTGTGTGAGTCCTCGGAAGGTGCTCAACACTGGTACTCCAGCACATCTGGGAATTATGTTCACATGTGGTGGGGGTGTAAATATGTACAATTTTTCTGGCAAAGGGTGTTTAAGGAGATAACAGAAATCACTGGGTTAAAGCTTACCGAAAGTCCAGAGGTAGCATAATTATCAATTTACGATGGGATGGAAGGTTCGCAGGCTAGGAAGAACTTGCTCACAAATTGTGATAGCTAGGAAGTGGAAGGGGCAAGCAGAATATAAAATAGAAGAATGGCATAAAAAGGTGTGGGATATGGCTATTAATGATAAATTAACACGTGCCATTAAGGTAACATGGAGAATATGCAGGAGAAATGATTTTGAGGAGATATGGAGGGTGGTTGTAGAATTTGTACTGTTCAAACTGAAAGGGGTCAAACCATCGCAACAGGCACATCCTTCTGATGTCCTGATTTTGGGGATCAAAATGTTGGAGGGTATGCACATTGATGTAAAGGTCTGTGTGGAAGACTACTTACACATTGTCCAATAATAATAATAATAATAGTAATGTAGACATGCAATACGAGCGGGGCAGTGGGCAAAAGAGAATACAGATTCCCAGAACATGTGTGTATGTTAATTTACATGCACATATACAAAGGTAGAAAAAATTACTACTATAATTTTAATAGAAAAGGAATGCTAGAAAAAATTACTACTATAATTTTTATAGAAAAGAAATCTCCGTAGTGGGCAAGACTGCAACCAGTGACCTGTGTGCCTGTTTGTTTCCCAGGTGCTACTAAGGCCCACCCCCCTTCTATAGGTCTTCATCTTTCAACCAGGCTGGCATTGGCCACCCCTTCAGAGGATTGTCCTCTGCAAAGGAAGACACATGGTCTCCCCAGCGGAATGTATGTGTGCATTTGTATCTCCAACAGAGTCATCCAAGTCCCAAAGCATCCATTTTTTAAAAGGCAATCTTCTTGTTTTGTTGGAGAATACAGTTATGAAGATGAGAACTACACTTGCTAGATTAAAAAATAAAATAAAACTGGTCTCAGGAACCTCTACAAGCAGCACTGGGCTCTGGCACTAATGAATAATAGTGGTGCAGAGCAAGGAGGAAAGTATTTGAAGGTACTAATTTTGCCTATTCGACACAACTGATTTTTAAGGTAAAAAGCACAGAGTGCATCACCCGTGGGCTGTATTTGAAAACCTACTTTTATTTAATATTAAAACCAGCTTCTTACTGGAGCGGAAGCTTTGCTAAAAATAGCAACTCCCTCTCTCTGCGGAGTTTGTGGAGGGGGATAAAAGGCACAACCAAAATAGGTGATTGTTTCTAGTTTGTGCCAGAGGAATACAAAGGGGATTTTCCCTGTGACCTGTGAGGCTCCTTTGGGAGAAAGTCTCTCCACAGAAATCTCCAAGGGGAACAGCCTATTGGTCTGGAAGCAAATAAACAGCTTGCACCAGGCACCTAAAGACCAGAAAGCTTAGCTTCTGTGATTCCTTTATCTGCTTCTGTCTATATCCCAAAGGCTCATCTCAAAGGGTTGAGCACTACCAGTTTTAGCATTAAAAAACTACATCCAATACCCAGTTGTAGTGAGGCTCTTGCAGCAGACATGCGGGTAGGGATGGGTGAATTTATCAATTTTGGTTTCCCATGTTTGAAAACCGTAAGTCTCCACATTTCCACAGCTGTTTGCATTTTGTTTTTAAATAGAAATCCTCATGAAAATTCAGTAGCAATTTAGTGTGTATTTTTCCTGATAGGTGCATTTTTTTTGCCTAATATACACATTTAGGTAAAGTGATTTCTCCTAACCTAATGCATATTCTCACCAATATATGCAATTCCATGCACCCTCCCCCCTAGCATGTTCAGTTTTGGTCATGTAACTTGTCTGGAGAACTGCATTGCAACATTTGGAAACCTAGGTGCTATCTTGGGGGGAGGGGTGCCGAAGCAGAAGAAGAAGAAGAGTTTGGATTTGATATCCCGCCTTTCACTCCCCTTCAGGAGTCTCAAAGCGGCTAACATTCTCCTTTCCCTTCCTCCCCCACAACAAACACTCTGTGAGGTGAGTGGGGCTGAGAGACTTCAAAGAAGTGTGACTGGCCCAAGGTCACCCAGCAGCTGCATGTGGAGGAGCGGAGACTCGAACCCGGTTCCCCAGATTACGAGACTACCGCTCTTAACCACTACACCACACTGGCTCTCCAGTTTCCTCCTTGCTCTGCACCACTATTATTCATTAGTGCCAGAGCACAGAAACATTTACTGTGGGTGCTCGGCTGGGCCACCCAACACACTGCCTGCTGCAGTGGGGCGGTTCCTTTGGGCCCTCCTGCTGCGATGGGGGGGGGCTTCACTGGACCCGCCTGCTGCAGCGACGATGTGTGACATCACACGCACGTGTGATGTCACAAGCGTGCGCCAGGCACCCACATTTAATCAATACAGGACATAGCATTTTACACTGAAGTAAGGGGCAATCCTGTATTATACAGGATGGGTGATAACCTTACTTTAAATGCACACGGCAGATGGGCCCTTAACCACACCCTGTACCTTGCTTTAGATAACGATTGATGCAGGCCCTCACTGAAAGATTTGCCAGATGTTTTCACATGTCCTTTGGGTGCCGGGATGACAGAAGACTTGCCACTGAAATGAGATTTTCTCCTGCGTAGCGGTCAGGCTTCACAATTAATCGCCTCTAAATCTGAAATATTTCTTCTTCTTTTCCCATCGCAGCTCAGCCCTGTGGCAGTGGAGGGAAATGTTTCAGTTCGAGAGAGTCCTGAAGCACTTGAGAATTACTATAAAACCAGCAAACGGTCAGATCTCATCAGGCGCAGAAGACCGATACAGAATTTCCACAATGGATTAAAATTGACCTGTCTCATATGGGGCCTCATTGTAGCAATTTAAATCGAGGTGCTCTACAACTTTAATTATTTTATTCAGACATCTTCATTTTTATTTTTATTTTAGCGTTCCAACCTGGGCATATTGGACATTAAACATAAGGCCTTTGAGATGGTAATCACTTAATTCCTGAGACATTGGGAAGGTTCCCTCACCCCCTCCCTCCTTGCAGAGAAACATTTGGTCAGTTTGGAAGTCAAAATGGTTTCAGGACTGTCTTCCTATGCTGTTTCAGACATGTGGGTTAGATATTTATGTACGTGTTTGCTTGTTAAATTTATGAACATTTATTATATATATAAGACCTTAGAATTACACTAAATAAAGTGGTACCTCAGATTAAGAACTTAATTTGTTCTGGAGGTCTGTTCTTGACCTGAAACTGTTCTTAACCTGAGGTACCACTTTAGCTAATGGGGCCTCCCGCTGCCGCCGCGCAATTTCTATTCTCATCCTGAAGCAAAGTTCTTAACCTGAGGTACTGTTTCTGGGTTAGCGGAGGCTGTAACCTGAAGCGTCTGTAACCTGAAGTACTACTGTACCCACTTTAACGGAAGTAAGCGTACTGAACTCAGTGTATTACTTCTGAGTCAGGATGTTGGGGAATTATGACAAAAATGGAAATGGGAGCAGAAATTGTCGGTGATGGCTTATTTGCCCCGTGACTGGAATGGAAAGCAATTGAGTGAATATGATCCTTAAGTCCCCAACCCACCCCCGTCTGATTGGCTGATTCTGCTTCCCTCCTGGAGCTTGATTGGTCTTCTCTTGCAGGCCAATCAGTTGTTGCATTCTATGATCCTACTAGCCTAATAGGTTGATTAACTTCTTCCTGGAGCCTGATTGGTCTTCTCCTGCAAGCCAATTAGCTGTTGCATTCTAGGATCCTACTTGCCTATTGTTCTAGGATCCAAGGTTAGTACATAACATTTACCTTTACCTTTTTACCTATTTTTCTAGAAAAAGATGTATCAGAACTCACCATGAACACACCCCTTGTTCTTTTATAATGGCAACGGTGCCTACCTGTGGCTACCTGTGGCTGGGGGCGGGGCGGGCGAAGCCCTCTTGCCATCCATTTGTGGACTACAATGCCCCTCATCTTTTACTATTGGCTGAGCTGGCTGGTAGCCTGTAGTCTGATATCTGAAGAACACCATGTCGGCTCCCCCTGGAACAAACTGTTTGCTGAACTTCTCATTAAAGAACCTCTCGGAGCCTGAAAAACCTCAGAAATCCCCCAAAACCTTCTTTCAAGCAGAGAAGAAGAACTCCAACACTCTATTCAACTTAGCAGTGTTCACCGTGGGTTCTAAAACAGCCATCTTGCTTCACATAAAATGGAGTTTCTCCTTCACTAAATACCTCCCTTGTGACCAACATTAGTTATGAGAACTACTAGAGAACTCTCCAGAATTCAGTTACCAACCTGAGAAATTTAAACACATAGTAATGCATACAAGCACTTACAATTTCCGTGAATCAAATTGCTATACTTAGCATGCCTTCCACTCCACCAGCCATCACTGCTTGCTATGCCCTTTCTCTGGTGCTGCTTCCATCTTTCACCTCTTCTTGGAAAAAGTTAGTATCATTAAATATAAATATATTGCTGGCCATTAATCAGGCTCCCCAGCTGCATTGCACTAATTTAACTGTGTGCAATGGTGAAAAATGGTACATGCAGTTTTTCTAGGCTTGGCAGTACAGCCGTAATTTTCCAGCCGTCTCTTCATTATTCTTTCACACTGCCTGCAACGTGATGTTCCCGCTACGTCTCCGCAGAAATGTCGGTGCTTCTTCTTCCCCACCTCCACTTTTCTTTTATTACCACCCAAAGTTCAAACGTCCAAGCCAGCATTTGACAAATATCAGAGCTTGCACGGAAACAAAGCTAAATCCCCTTTTAACAAGAGAGTTAAAAACATGCCTAATTTTGCTGGATTGAAGAGGCCGTTTTAAAAGTTGCGAAACACAAGTTTGTTTAAAAAGGGCTTGAAAGGAGAAGGAGGTGACCAGCACTGTGTTAAAATTTAAATCGCAATCACTAAATTATAAGCCTGGTATTTAAAGTGTATCTATAATTAAAGTTAAAGTACAGAGAACAGCAGCTAAGTGGGAAAGAAATGTCTTTCAGGTTCCTAGTAACACCCTATTCAATTAATGTTTTAATTGCCCAATGATTTTCAGGTCAAATCTCTTCTTCAGAGGAAAATATCACCAAATAGCAAAATAATAATGATGATGATGATGATAATTTATTTATACTCCGTCCATCTAGCTGGGTGTGTACACACACACACACACACACACACACACACACGCACACACACACTATATATATATAGTTAGAGATGCTTATATATTTGGCTGAAAGCCTTCTGTTGATTTGTTTCATCAATGGGAAGTATCAGAAGATGTTTCCCTGATACCTGGTGATCTCTCTCCAGCTTTTAGAATGGGATACCCGTCTGAAGTAGGTTCTCCCTCCTTCACCCCAGTTTTAAAAAAATGGTTGAATATCTACACTTTCACCTCAAAGTGTTTGATGCTTCTCTATGTTTCTTGAACCAGAAGAATTTTGTCTGAAGACAGACATATAAATCAGAAGTTGCAGTAGCCTTTTTACCCATAGTGTAAGCCTAGCTGCATACAGTTTTGCAATTTATGTGACAGGACATTATTAGCCATGAGCTGGTTCACATGTCAGTCTTGTCTGTCCTTCATCCCTCGTTTGGGCTGCCTCACTTCTTTAAAAATATGTGATGCAATGCTTAGAGCGGGGATAACCAACCTTTTTGGCCAGTGGGCCCATCTGGAATTCTGAGGAAGTGCTATGAATGCCAGTCACAAAATGGCTGCCGTGTGTGTGGCATAACACAAGATGGTTGCGGGGGGGGGTATGCCATAAGACAAAATGGTGGTGGGGCCATGGCATAACACAAAATGGTGATTAAAAGAGCCAAGAACATGAAACAGTGTGGGCATGCCCCCTTTCAATGGAAAAAGACACCTACATCACCCACTGCCACGTTTGCTTATAGAACAGAGCTCTCTTGTTCACTGTGGATTTTTGAGGGCTTTTTACTTAGACCTTTTGTGGACACATTGGTGACCCTTTGGTGTTGGACTAGGATTGGGAAGACTTGTGTTCAAACCCACGTTAACCACGAAGCTCCTTAGACCAGTCACCTTTTCTCGGCCTAACATACCACACTTGTGGATTGCTCTTCCATGGGAGGCTTGCCTGGTACCACCAATACTTATCTTCAGGTGCCCGACAAAAGCATTATGTTTCCACTTGGTCTTTGGCTTGTAATGATCTGTGGCCTCCTTCAGTGGGTGAGATGTTTTAATCCTGCCTTTTATTAAAACCTGATTATGTTTTAGGTTTTTTTCCTCTCTTTTGCTTTGTGGTAGTTTCAATCCTAGACAACATCAAAACCTAGACAAACCTAGACAGTATCTTAAAAAGCAGAGACATCACATTGCCAACAAAGGTCCTTATAGTTAAAGCTATGGTTTTCCCAGTAGTGATGTATGGAAGTGAGAGCTGGACCATAAAGAAGGATGATCACCGAATAATTGATGCTTTCGAATTATGGTGCTGGAGGAGACTCTTGAGAGTCCCATGGACTGCAAGAAGTTCAAACCTCTCCATTCTGAAGGAAATCAGCCCTGAGTACTCACTGGAAGGACAGATCATGAAGCTGAGGCTCCAATACTTTGGCCACCTCCTGAGAAGAGAAGACTCCCTGGAAAAGACCCTGATGTTGGGAAAGATGGAGGGCACAAGGAGAAGGGGACGACAGAGGACGAGATGGTTGGACAGTGTTCTTGAAGCTACCAGCATGAGTTTGGCCAAACTGCGGGAGGCAGTGGAAGACAGGAGTGCCTGGCGTGCTCTGGTCCATGGGGTCACGAAGAGTCAGACACAACTAAATGACTAAACAACAACAACAAAGTTTCAATCTAGATGTTATTTATCTGTTGCTGTAAGTCACTTTGAGTTCCTTTTGATAAAAAAAAAAGACTAATAAGTTGAATAAATGATAATAAATAAAACAGTAAAGTGTTTATGATGCCTCAGCTATAATCTTGAGTTTAAATTAACGGGTCCATCCAGGTGTGCAATTCCAGACCAAGACTGACAGGTTTGTGGACTCTGTAGCACTCATATGTCACCAAAACGTCAGGCAGCAGCTACAACGGCTGCAAATAACCTCAAGGTGACCAACACGGTGTTAGCATTCCTTCCGTTCTTAAAAGAACTGTCCCCTGCCAAGCAGGCTGCAATGCTCACACATTCCCCCACTTCCCCATCTTTTGAGCATGGAGGATATTAATTATCGTTGCCAGTATCGATCTGTGACAGTCCGCATGACAATGTGACATGCCGTCATGCTTTTCTCCCCGTCTGCTTTCACTGCCCTTTCCAGCTTTGCACCCTCGCCGACCCCTTGTCCATTTAAATTGTATCACCCTCATTATTGTTATCATCGCAATGATCCTCACTCCCTTAAATAGCAAAAGTCCGTTTGTGAAGTTCACAGTTTTTATAGCCTGGGTTGTGAAGTGGTAAGGGATGAATTAGGTATGCACAAGGGAAGTCGTGTGTGTGTGTGTGTTTGTGTGTGAGATTTGATTTCTGATTTCCCCAGCCCTGACAGCTGCTTGCTGTACAGCGATGCAAACTGCCTTCAAAATGCCCCTCTCTGAGTAACATAAAAAACATAAGAAGAGCTCTGCTGGATCACATCAAAGGCCCGTCTAGTCCATCATCCCAACTCCCCACAGCGGCTAAGCAGATGCCTGTACAATTCAGTTCAATCAATTCATTTGTCTCTTCATGCTGCCAGCAGTCCCAAATCGATTTACAGGGACGATAACATACAAACTATAATATGCAGGGGAAGATCCATTAAAATGAAACAGCTATCCCAAAAGTGTTCATCTGCAAAAATCACCTGACAACAGGAAATAACCTCCCCAGTTGCTGCTTAAAGAACACCAAAAATAACCCACTAAGAGTCAGAAAATCAACGCTGTCCAAATGGCCAGGAGTGTAAGAATGTCTTTGCCTGGGGGCCAGAAGGATGGAGCCAGGTGGGCCTTCCTGAACGAAGCATTGATTCTACACTTTGGGACCCTCTTTGAGAAATCCGCATGAGGGGAGGTGTGACGAGAGACAGTGTGGCGTAGTGGTTAGGCTGCAGTGGTTCTTGAAGGGTGTGGCATGCCACACTGGTGTGCAAGAGAGGATGGCAAGTGTGGCGAGAAAATTCAAGGACAATCAAAGAAACATGTAAACATTTCATAGTATAGTATAGTATCATTTATTTATTTATTTGCAGAATATGGATAGATATCTTTTCAAGATATCTTGAAAGAGCATCAAGTCAAATACTGCAAGCTCATATACCTCTCATTGAGTTTGTATAGATACTTAAAGTACACATGTAAGAGGCCTAATTATACTCTCAGGCCACTTTTTGCTGCTCTCTGTTTTGTAGCAATGTCAATTATTCCGCCCCCCCCCCAAAAAATTTGATTAGAAATTTTGGGGAAGGCTGGGCCACTGCTGTCCATCCACTGGAACTGCTGACTACTTAGTATGCATTTTGGCCCCTGCCTATTAGCATAATTAGATTGCTGGTGGCAATAATTGCCAGGGATCAGGTAGCGAAAGGGAGGAGAACAATTTATTTTCTCAAAGACATATGCCAACCAGACTGCGAAGACAAATGCGCCTGTCGAGCAAAATGCCAGGTAGTTATTTTCTCTCTGATACGCAAGATTGCAGTGTTCTTCATTTCATTTTTGTTCCCATAACTGTGATCCACTCATCAGTAAATATTATGGTTCCAAGAAAATATAAAGTGTTGGGTTTTTTTCATTTGTAATATAGAGAGGAAGGAAAAAAAAACTCCCTGAGAAGCATTGTTCAGCCCAGACACTAAGGTCCACCTCTGAGGGTCTTTTTGTGGAGACCCTCCAAGGGTCCCTATTTTCCAGGGATGTCCCTGATTTAGAGAAGCCACCCTGGTTTCTGATCTGATCCCAGAATGGAGTTATCCAAACCCCGAGCCATCTGAAAGCAATCCTGAATTTAGAACATTGGGGTTTTTAAAATGTGTAATGTTTTATTATGTTTTTATGTATGTTTGAAGCTGTCCAGAGTGCTGGGGCAACCAAATAAGATGTGTGGGGTATAAATAGTAATAATATCACTATGGAATGGGATGTCCCTATTTTCATCTGAAAAAAGTTGGAGGGTCTTTTGGTGGTTCTCTCACTGTGGGAAGTTACAGCGAACCAGATACAGGTCCTTCTCGGTGGTAGCACCCTCCCTGTGGGACGCCCTCCCATCAGACTACGCAACTGAAGGCAGCCCTGTATTGAGAAGTTTTTAATATTTGATATTTTATTCTGTTTTTATATGTATCGGAAACCACCCAGAGTGGCCGGGGCAACCTAGCCAGATAGGTAGGGAATAAATAATAAAATTATTATTATTATTATTATTATTATTAAGCAGAAGGAGAAAGGAATATAGGATCCTGCCATATCCCTGGGTGCTGCAATATGCTTTTTGACATAAAGTGACACGGTATCCCAAGTGCAGTTGCATCATAGATTTTTATAATGGCATTAGGATTCCGGTGGTTTTGCTTTCCATTTCCTTCCTAATGATCCCTAACACGGAATTGGCCAACAGCTGGCACATCTGGTTGGCTGCTGCAGAAAACACGATGCTGACCTAGATGGTCTGATGTAGCAGTTTTCTTCTCATGTTCCTGTTCCGAATTATTATAATGCACTTCCCCTAAGGGGAAACTGGACAGGATAATTAGCTGAATATTCTCTCTTTGAGTAGCTGTGTGCAGAAAAAGAGCTAAACACGATCCTCCTGCTCCTCCTCCTTGTGCCTCAATATATTTCAAATCTCACCCAGTCCTTGGAACCTCTCCTTTGATAGCCTGAGGGTCCCCCGACAACAGCTTTCTTTAGGGAAGACATCTGGATTTGGCACAGATGAATGACAACAGCACCTTCATGGTGCAAACAACAGCAACGTTTCTCTGGAAAGACCTGAAAGTGTTGGCTGATTAATTGTAGCATCCTTTACTAAGGGAAGAACGGCAATCAGAGCCTGATAGCTGCTTTCATATTATTAAAATAATACAGTGGTACCTCGGGTTACATATGCTTCAGGTTACAGACTCCGCTAACCCAGAAATAGTGCTTCAGGTTAAGAACTTTGCTTCAGGATGAGAACAGAAATCGTGCTCCGGTGGCGCGGCGGCAGCAGGAGGCCCCATTAGCTAAAGTGGTGCTTCAGGTTAAGAACAGTTTCAGGTTAAGAACGGACCTCCGGAACGAATTAAGTACTTAACCCGAGGTACCACTGTATTATACAATTCAGTTTGTCTCAGACTGAATTGTACGTTCCTGGTAAGTTCCCTTGAATCCCTCTTAAATTGCTTGAATCCCTCGGCCAATAAAGCGAGATAAGCGCCGCAACCCCAGAGTCAGCCATGACTGGACCTAATGGTCAGGGGTCCCTTTACCTTTACCTTTATGCACCCGAGTGGCTATCCTGAGCCTGGGAGGGCACCCTCCAAGCCATGCCCCCCTCGGGAGCACGCCTGCCCTGGATAGTGTGGGCATAAGCTCCGCCGCTGGAGGTGTGCTTAGTTTTCTCCCTGCTTGCCCCTCCTCTGCTCTGAATCTCACCCTCCTGGTCCCCTTTCTCTCTCTGATTCGTTTCCACCTGGTCTGGGAAGGTGGGACTCTTGATGGACTCCAGCTGCAGATCAGTTTCATTTGTTGAGACATTAGTGTTACACTAGGAAGAAAAGGGTGGGAAGAGGTGGAGGGGGGAATGGTGAGTGGGGTGGGGGGTGGCGATGCTTCTATTCAACTTAGTGTATGTGTGGGGGTTTGTGTCAGCATCACTTGTGTGGGTACTATTCGCTTGTTGTATTTTCTTCTTCATCATCATCATCATTTTTTATTTGTATGCCGCCTTTCCACAGTTAAAAAAACAGTGCTCAAGGCGGCTTACGGCATAACAAGATTTACATAATTACAAAAGTCATAAACAATAAATAAACCAAAAATAAATCAAAAAATACACAACCAAATGGGAAACAATTTCCACATAAATCAAAATTTAAAAATTAGAATACAGCATTAATATCACAGTTTAAAATGACATAGGTAAAAAATAACAGCAATTTAAATAAAAAACAAAAACAAAACAAAATGGCGCCCTCTCTTCTCAGCGGCAGCAGTCCTTTATAGAGCCCATCAGGCCCCGCTCTAGGTCAGGTGAGTGGCAGGACTGGGGCCCTCAGGCGCTGAGCAGGGGAGTCCTCCTTGGTGGTGAGAGAGGTTGGGGTGGCCTAGGGTGTGGTTGGTTGTCTTTGGTTGGCTGTAGTGAGATCTGTTTATGTTTGTGCGTGTGGGGAGGGGTTTGGGTGTGGGTAGCCATATTGATTCGTTTTCTGTCAGCAGATTCTTCTTGTTGTCTTGTTGGACTGTGTATGTGATGAAGGGGAACCATACCGGAGTGAAGGCGTCTTCTTCTGTTTGCCCCCGTGTCAGTTTCAGTTTGTTGGTTAGTTTTTCTAACAAGGCTGTTTCATATTTACTCTTATGAGATACTTTAGCTAGCTTACTCGAAAGTGTGTGCCTATTTTAACGACTACTTCACAAGAGGCAGCGTCTTTTCAGTGGTGGCTCTGCATTGATGGCACTCCCTCCTTTGGAAAATGCAGTCACTTCCCTCCTTGTCATCTTTGAGGCTTGCCTTAAATTCCAGATGGCTTTCAATTGGTTGGGAAGGGCCGTCACTCAGCGGTAGAGCATCTGCTTTGCAGGCAGAAGGACCCGGGTTCAAATCCAAGCATCACCAGGTAGGACTGGGGATCCCCCTGCCTGAAACCCAGGACAGCAACTGCCAGTTAATGGTCTGACTCAGTTTTTAAAAAAATATATTTTATTAAGGTGATTTCAATTAAAAGAAAGAAAGTGATACAGAAAAAAAGAAGGAAATGTGAAAGGGAGAAAAACTCAGTATAATGCAGCTTCTTATGTTCCTAAGAAAGTGTTTGGAGCGGGCTGGTGGTGGATAAAGCCCATGTTTAGAGGGATAGCCGCTGGTGTATTACATGCATTTGTGTCTAATGTGCAGTGTGTGTGACCTTTAGAGAAAATGACACCTCCTGATGGTAAGAATGGAAGGCGGGGAGAGTATGATTGTTGAAGCATCTGGAGATTTCTGAGAACTCTATGGTGGAATCTAAAGGTAAAGGTAAAGGTACCCCTGACCATTACGTCCAGTCGTGGACGACTCTGGGGTTGTGCACTCATCTCGCTCTATAGGCCGAGGGAGCGGCGTTTGTCCGCAGACAACTTCCGGGTCATGTGGCCAGCATGACTAAGCCGCTTCTGGCAAACCAGAGCAGCGCACGGAAACGACATTTACCTTTCCGCCGGAGTGGTACCTATTTATCTACTTGCACTTGACCTGCTTTCGAACTGCTAGGTTGGCAGGAGCTGGGACCGAACAACAGGAGCTCACCCCATTGCGGGGATTCGAACTGCCGACCTTCTGATCGGCAAGTCCTAGGCTCTGTGGTTTAGACCACAGCGCCACCCGCATCCCATGGTGGAATCTACACACATATTAATAAAACCACTGTGAAAATGCTTTTTTAAAAAACATTTTGAAAATATATATTGAATTTGCCGTACCTCACCATCGCCATCTAGTGTCACTTTTGTATATTGCACTTTACAACTTAAAATGTTTCATTTGCAGCTGTATAGCTGAGTCCTGTGAAAGGGAAATACCCTAAGCCAGGTTAGGAAGGAAAAACAACCGATATTACCTAAGGAATCAAACAGAGGCAGGAAACTCTCTCTCTCTCTCTTTAAAAAAGCAACAACAGCAACGAAATGGAGGCAATAAAAATAAATCCTCGCAGCAGTTATTAGCACACAAGAAAGCTGCTGTTTAGCAGGTCAACGGAGGGCGTTGAGCTCATATAATGAAAGGGAATGAGGAGGAAGGGAAACTAATGAATGTTGTTTTTGATGGTGAAATTTTAATGCCTTTCTTGGCATCTGGCCCAGGAAAAAAAACTATTGGAAAGGGCATCCTTGCCCAGCTTTTGACAACCTGGTGCCCAGTGGATGTTTTGGACAACACCCATCAATCCCAGCTAGCTACCGTATTTTCCTGTGTATAACATGCCCCCATGTATAAGTCAACCCCTATTTTTTTGGACAGCAACAAAAAAAGGGGAGGGGAATTGCCCAAAGTTGTTGAGCTTTTGAGAGGGGGAGATTGCCCAGTTTTTCAGCTTTTTTGGGGGAGGGGATCACCGCCGCCAATCACTTTACAGCCTGCCCGCAAATCGGCCACCCCACTCAACGCAGCCACAGCCAATTGCATGCACACCACCCCACACACTCGGACACAGAGCGATAATGTGCAGGCATCTGTCTGGAAAGAGCAGGGCCAAAAGTTAGTGTGGATAAGCCCTTTGCTGATTCCAACCCCAACAGATGCTTTTCCTGAACTTTTCCAGTAAGAAAAGGTGAAAGCACTGTATTTTTCGCTCTATAAGACGGACCAGACCATAAGACGCACCTAGTTTTTGGAGGAGGAAAACAAGAAAAAAAATATTCTGAATCTCAGAACCCAGAACAACAAGAGGGACTGCTGTGCAGCGAAAGCAGCGATCCCTCTTGCTGTTCTGGCTTCTGGGATAGCTGCGCAGCCTGCATTCGTTCCATAAGATGCACACACATTTCCCCTTACTTTTTAGGAGGGAAAAGGTAAGTCTTATAGAGCAAAAAACATGGTAGTTTACGTATTGCAAGCAAACACTTTACCCTCTGCGCACCAGAGAGGTCTTGAGGAAGCCAGGGTTTCTTTCTTTCTTTCTTTCTTTCTTTCTTTCTTTCTTTCTTTCTTTCTTTCCTCCCCCCCCCCAAAAAAAAACATGGCTTCACTGCCTGCAAAAGATGTCCCAGCAGATTAAGTGCAGGCTGGAGAGTTGTTGGGTTTTTTAAAAGTATGAAGCCCCTCAAAAGCAGCGAGTGCTAATTAATTTGAAAAACAAGACGAGAAAATACATCCTGACATTTCATAAGAGGCAAGCGGAACCATGCTGCCATATGTTTTGTCTCCTGCAGAGGATTTATGAAGGGTGTGAGATGAAGATACGGCTAATTTTTAACAAACAAACAACAGAGAGGAGGCTTGTGGTCAACATTTCTAACATTCATCTCCTCAGATATGGGCCAGATTTCCATCCAGCAATCTCAAAGTGGGACAACATGGGAGATCCACCATCGTGCCCTGAGCCTTGCACAGCTTAAGTGAAAGGGGGGAGGGGAGACTATTTCTTCCTTCATCGTCACAGCAGAGTGGCCCCACTCACCTGTCAACATTGGCCCAAGGCACAAATGCAAAAAGACTCCCCATCCCTGATCTAAGGCAAGGGAGATGTTGGCAAGCGACATGAGCTGGGGCACAGCCCCTAGTACAGTGGTACCTCGGGTTAAGAATTTAATTTGTTCTGGAGGTCCGTTCTTAAACTGAAACTGTTCTTAACCTGAGGTACCACTTTAGCTAAACCTTCCAACAGTTTGACTTCACCCCCAAAGGCGCACTCCTCCATTGTCTCCTGAGACAGACATATGCCTACAATAGACATAGACTTCTAGATGAAGGTGGAATGGAAAATAAATATATAAACATTATTCGCTCATTTCTATATAACCTATGTCTGGATTTGGCAAATATGTCAGTTCTGGTTTCTATCAGTTTCTCATTTCTCCAGTCTTAAGTTCGGTTCTCCACATTTCTGCATAAGTTTTCATTAAAAAAAAGCAACAGCATGAAAATTCAACATTGTTTTACTGCAAATTAATACACACGCTTTTTTTGTATGAAATTTTGCCTAATAAGCAGCTTTTTGCAAAGAAGAGAAGAAGAAGAAGAGTTTGGATTTGATATCCCGCTTTATCACTACCCGAAGGAGTCTCAAAGCAGCTCACATTCTCCTTTCCCTTCCTCCCCCACAACAAACACTCTGTGAGGTGAGTGGGGCTGAGAGACTTCAGAGAAGTGTGACTGGCCCAAGGTCACCCAGCAGCTGCCTGTGGAGGAGTGGGGAATCGAACCCAGTTCACCAGATTATGAGTCCACTGCTCTTAACCACTACACCACACTGGCAACCCCCCCCCCGATATAACACATTTTGATGTTATTTTCAATAATACGTTCATTTATATGCAAACTTTTTTTCTAGTATGTGGATTTTGAACACATTACGTGGCTGGAGAACTGCACTGAAAAAGTTGGAGAAGTGTGAATTTTGAAGGGGAAAGCTGTGTTTCAGTTTGCCTATTGTTTTCGAAAGTGCAGATCAGGTAAGTTTGCCTTTATATGAGAACTGAATCAGATTTCTTCCCCTCCCACCCCTGTCCCTTCTAAGATCTTGTAATCTAAGACAGAGACATTGAGGATATGCATTAATTTCTCTTGTAATCACCTACCCATTTGGGTTAATCGGGCAATGTAGCAGCAAGAGTAAAATATTAAACCTAACAGATGGCATGAAGCTCTGCGTAAGAAGCAGGTAATTATTATGTACGACTTCACCTGCCTGCAGGTACTCCACTCCATGGTTGAAGATTATATCCTGAGCTCTTGTTCTCCAGAGTGGTGTTTCCTTTGCCTTCAGTGCTAAAAGAATCTGGTCTGTTTCTGAAAACGAGGTAGGGTTATATGGATGGTTTTTGGCAAAAGAGCCATGCACACAGAGATCCTTACGGTAACTTTAAAAAGGCAAGCTGCTCTCTCCATCCCCCGCTGGCAACACTAGGTCCCAGAAATTCCAAGGTCGAGATAATTTCTGACTACTTAAGATCTTTGGCTTCTGTTTGGAGCATTAAGGTTGTTAACACCAGGCTTTGGCGAAGGCTCAGCAATTACTTTGCTAATGGCTGCACGATTTCCAGCAAAGTAGACTAATTAGGTGAACACTGCAAGGCAGGATTAAAACTTTTACCAAGGACATATTTGCACTGCAATGTCCTGTGAGAATCCTAGATGTGTAGTTTGTTGAGGCTGGTGAGAATTATGTCTTAGAGATCCCTAGGACTCATCCACATTTACTGCTGCTTTGTGTTTCTAGGTCTGGGTGGTGCTGTGGTCTAAACCACTAAGCCTCTTGGGCTTGCTGATCGGAAGGTCGGAGGTTCGAATCCCCATGATGGAGTGAGCTCCCGTTGCTCTGTCCCAGCTCCTGCCAACTTAACAGTTCGAAAGCACACCAGTGCAAGTAGATCAATAGGTACCACTGTGGCGGAAAGGTAAACAGTGTTTCCATGCGCTCTGGTTTCCATCATGGTGTCCCGTTGTGCCAGTAGCGGTTTAGTCATTCTGGTCACATGACCCAGAAAGCTGTTGGTGGACAAATACCGGCTTTCTCGGCCTGAAAGTGAGATGAGCAACTCCATAGCTGCCTTTGACTGGACTTAACTGTCCAGGGGTACTTTACCTTTACCTTCTTTTTACCTTACAGGTAACACAATAGACCTTTGTTTTGTTTGTGAAGGCTAAACAAGTGGTTCTCCATTTTAGCAGGTGAAGTAGCAGATATTTCTGGAATACAGTAACTATCTCTGGGTGTAAGATTTGTGGAAGGAAGTGATGGGGATGAATCTGTACATGAAGAATTCCAGGGACTCCTTCCAATCTCAGATGAAACTGCCGTAAACACCTTTTAACAGTGCAGCGTTATCAGTGGTATAATCTGAAAACTGCATGTCACAGCCCTTGCCTTCTCCCACCACCCACCAAATTATTTCTGCAGACACCCCTGGTGTGTCTCA